TTCATGATTTTGAGTGGAATTTTTACGATTTTGAGGGGAATTTTGGGAATTTCAGGCTGTGAATTTCAGGAATTTTGGGAATTTTGGGAATTTCTGGGGAATTTTGGGTCCCACCTGGTCCCCCCGAGGGGGGGGGAGGGGTCTGTTGGCCGCCCCCCCCGGCACCACCCGGCTCTGCTGCGTCTCCGCCCCAAACTGCAAAAAAAACAACAAAAACAGGGAATTTTGGGAATTTTGGGAATTTTGGGAATTTTGGGAATTTTGGGATGTGGGAATTGGGGGAGGGGTCCCAAACCAAGAGTTTGAAGGGTTTGGGGGTGGATTTTGGGGGAAAATCCTGAAATTTGGGCTTTTTTTGTTCATTTTTCTGGGAATTTGGGACTTTTTTTTCCCTGATTTTATCAGGAATTTTGGGATTTCTTTTGGAATTTGGGAATTTTGGGAATTTTGGGATGTGGGAATTAGGGGAGGGGTCCCAAATCCAGGAGTTTGAAGGGTTTGGGGGTGAATTTTGGGGGAAAATCCCAAAATTTGGGCTTTTTTTGTCCATTTTTTCGGGGAATTTGGGGTTTTTTTGTGATTTTTTGTGGAATTTTTGGAATTTTGGGAATTTTGGGAATTTGGGGATGTGGGAATTCGGGGAGGGGTCCTCACCAGCCCCACGGATCCCAAATCCAGGAGGTTGAAGGCTTTGGGGGTGAATTTTTGAGGGAAAATCTCCACATTTCACCATTTTTTTGCCATTTTTTCGGGAATTTCAGGATTTTTTTTGGAATTTCGGGAATTTTGGGAATTTTGGGCTGTGGGAATTTGGGGAGGGGTCCTCACCAGCCCCACGGATCCCAAATCCAGGAGGTTGAAGGCTTTGGGGCTCTCGGGCTCAGACTGCACCAGGCTCCGGAGGATTTCGGGCGTCGTCGTTTGGATGTGGCCAAAATCCTGGAAAATTCGGGAAAAATTGGGAATTTTGGAGGGAAATTCGGGAATATTTTTGATTTTTGATGGAAAATTTGGGATTTTTTTTAAATTTTGGGGGGGAAAATTGGGATTTTGGGGGGGGAAATTTGGGAAATTTTGAGGGAAAGTGTGGAATTCTGGGGGGAAATTTGGGAATTTTTGGGCAGAAAATTCAGGAATTTTTTCGGGGAGATTCAGGAATTTTTTCTATTTTTTTGGGGAATTTTGAGGGAAATTTGGGGATTTTTTGGGGGTTCCAAACCTTCCCAAGGGGGTCCTGGATCCTCAAAAAGAGGGGTCTGGACCCTTCAAATCCATTCCCAGTTCATCCCAGTATAAACCAGTCTAAACCAGTCTAAACCAGTATAAACCAGTATAAACCAGTATAAACCAGTACCACCAGTTCCTCTAGCAGCTCCCCCACCAGTCCCAGTTTCATTCCCAGTATAAACCAGTCTAAACCAGTCTAAACCAGTCTAAACCAGTACCACCAGTTCCTCCAGCAGTTCCCCCACCAGTCCCAGGTTCATTCCCAGTATAAACCAGTCTAAACCAGTCTAAACCAGTATAAACCAGTATAAACCAGTATAAACCAGTACCACCAGTTCCTCCAGCAGCTCCCCCACCAGTCCCAGGTTCATTCCCAGCATAAACCAGTATAAACCAGTCTAAACCAGCATAAACCAGTCTAAACCAGTCTAAACCAGTATAAACCAGTCTAAACCAGTATAAACCAGTACCACCAGTTCCTCCAGCAGTTCCCCCACCAGTCCCAGGTTCATTCCCAGGTTTTTTTCGCTGATGGGGCCGCAGAAATCGCGGAGCAGCGTCACCAATCTGAGGAAAAATCCCAAAAAAAAAGACAAAATTTAGCCCAAAAATCCCCAAATTTATCCCAAAAAATCCCCAAAATTCCACCCAAAAAATAATAAAAAAAAAACCATCCCAAAATAAAAGAAAATTCCACCCAAAATTACAAAAAAAATCATCCTGAAATAGCCCAAAATTCATTCCAAAATTTCCCAAAATTCATTCCAAAATTGCTGAAATTTAATCCCGAAAAGTCCCCAAAATTCATCCAAAAATTCATCCCCCAAAAAGAAACAAAATTCCTGAATAATCCATCCCAAATTTCCAAAAAAATCCATCCCAAAATTCCCAAAAATCCATCCCAAAAATCCCCAAAATCCAAAAAAAATCCATCCCAAAAATTCCAAAAGTAACCCCCAAAATCCATCCCAAAATTTATCCCAAAATTCATCCCAAAATTCGCAAAAAAATTCCACAAAAAAATCCCCAAATTCCACCTCAAAAATTCCCAAAATTTAGCCGCAAAAATTGTTTAAAAAATGAAAAAAATCATTAAAAAGGAATAAAAGTTTTTAAAAAATCACCAAAAAATCACCAAAAAACAACCAAAGAAATTCCAAAATTCCCGAGAATTCCCAAAAATTCCCATTTT